AAAACATATTTAAACACAATCAACCAAATTCTATATATTTTTACTTATACTTATTATTTATATAACAGTATACTTTTTAAATTTTTCATTTTGAAAATAATTGCAAGCAATATTTTTAAGCATTTGCGGGTAGCATTTTGATAGAACCATTATTTCATAGTATTACAGAATTTCGTTTCACCTGTACGATTAAAATACATGAGTTTTATTACATTGCTTCCTCTATTGGTATTCTATACATTGTATACATTCAGTAATGAGATAGATTTAAAGACGTGTAATAAGTGGATGTTTATTCCCTAATTACAGCATTCTCTTAACCGGGGATTTCTTATAGATATCGAAATACAAAACATTTGGTCAAAATATTCAATAAATTCTCTTTATAATTTAGCTTGAGTATATTGTAAGGTTAACAACATCATTAGATCGAACATATTTTTACAGAGCGACGTTGGAATTTGTTATAAATTTTTGAAATGCTTGTTAAGTGACTGTAAAAAGCTGATTGCCTGCTAAGCTAACACTTAGTTCAAGTTATAAAACTGAATAGCATAACTATGAATCGAGAAATTAAAATCATTAAAAATTCATATGAAATATTTAATTGGAGGACTTCACTCACTTTTTACGACGTTTCACCTTTTCGCTAATTTGATTTAAAAGTTCGCTTGCTTTCGTTTTTACTCGAAGAAGGTAGGCGAATAAAGCAAAAATTTCAAAAAAGAATAAATAGAAAACTTGCATAGATTTTTTTTCGAAGGGCCAAAAATTTTAAAACGAAGGTATAACTTTCAGTGTTCCCACTCAATAAAAACAAAATGTATCCAATTTCGAGAAAAAAGTGTATCCAAAATGTATCCAGCCACCTAAAGTAGAATTATTATACTAAGTCGTCTTATTTTATACCAATAAACTCATAAATAATATTAATTTGCTTTATTCAACAATGTGAGTTTCGTTATTTATAGTAAATTCTTTTAGAAATCACACGCAATTTCTATTACATTTTAAAATTTAAGGTCAGAAAATAGATACAGTTACAGAACAACTGTTGAACTTTACGGTAAAAACGATTCAGCATGAAAATGTTATTTGCTGACAAATTTTATTTAGTCAGCAAATAACATTTTTTGGAAGATAAAGCAATTTCACGATTTAATATTGGTAGCACTTTAAAAGTTTTGTAACATTTATTCAGTGTTCGAGACAGAAATGTATCCATATTTCAGCAAAATTTTAAAATGTAGCCAATTTCGACATTTTAGCAGATTTGAGTATCTTTGTATCCAAGCTAAATGTTAAAGCAAAAATGTATCCAAATGGATACAATTGTATTCAAGTGGGAACGCTGATAACTTTACAAATATGATAAAATTCTGATGATTTAAGTATTCCAAATATTAAAAGAATTCATAATAATTCCACCGCTGTTTTTATGAAAAAGAACAAATTTACTGTCAAAGTTTTCAGGAATTAAGAAAATAGATTCCAAGGATGAAGATGTAAAAAATTTTAGAACTTTTTTTTGCTGACTCAGAATTATAAGTAAAATTTTTGTTAATTGAAAGGATCATTTTTCTTTTTCTTTACAAACATATGTACGCATGTATGCATTCGTACATATTGTACAAAATGATATGGGTCAAGGATTGAAATTGTTACACATATGTACTTATTCCACATTTATATATTGTAAAAAAATTAAGATTACTTACAACATATTTGATTCAAGTCGAAAACACAGGTATAAAATAAGATTTATTTCCTGAAATCGTTAACTTTTTCCAATTTTATTTCGAAAAAAAAAGGAAAAATGTTTTAAAATAGAAAGTTAATCCATTTTGATGGTTTTTTCTTTTCTAAGAAAAATTTTATTTCTATTTTATTGTTCAAATGAACAAATTGAAACTGTTAGATTAGAGATTCCAATTTAAACGCAAAATATTATTTACTAATTATTAAAAATTGAAAGTAAAGAAAGTAATTGTATAGGCTATTATCATTTTTGATTGAAAAAATACTAAATCCATCAAGTTATCAAACAATAAACAAATATCTTGCTTAGAGATATTTGTGGAAAATATAGCGTAAAAACTATATTAGAATTACGCAAAAGAATTATATAACAGTAAAAAACTGTGCATTTCAAAATATTTTCCAATTATTTATAGAGAATCTGAAATTAATAAAAGCAATTTTTCATAATTTATTTAGTGAAAAAACATAAAATAAAGTTAAATCAAACAAATGTTTTGTAAAGAAGCACTTTTCCCTTGAACAAGTTAAAATACTGTTTTTAATATTAGTCTACATACTACATTCTGTAAATTACTTTTATTCGTATAACAAAATATATCAATTTATTACATACATTCAGGATGAACTAAAAATTAGATTTTGTCAGAGTACATACATTCAGTATAAATCAGGATTCGGTTTCCAATTTCGTGAGGCGGTAGCTTAGGGGGGGGGGGGGGCGTAGGTAGAAAAAAATATTCCTTTTAACGAAATTAATTATTGGAGATAAAATTCACCCTTACACTGAAACCACTTTTACCTTATAATATTCGATTGTGCTGTGCCGCGATATAAGAAGCGTGTCACTATTTCTCTGCACCTGCCGAATTTAAATAATGCCTCTGGTTTCGTTATAATAAACAGTGTAAAATTCTAAACTTTTTGATAGGGGCGGGTAGGTAGTGCGGTGTATCTATTTTTGTATTTCAGTTTAAACTTTACTTAAAGGCTGAAGTAGTTTTAAAAAGAGACACACGAATAGGCGGACGGGCCGGCGGATGGTCGAACAGATGGATGGACAGTGTGAAATTAATGAGCACCTTTTTCCATTTTTTTTGGAAAATAGCTAAAAAGAAACTAAAGTAATTATCATTTAAATTTATTATTTACCTACCACTTTTGAAATATTAATACGAGTATTTAGTACTTTGTAAAATACTACAAGTATATTATATAATATATTTATACATACATAAATTATGTATATGAATTTTCATATGGAATATAGACCAATATATTTCAAATTCATATGATGCTCATTACATCAAATATTTACTAATAGTTAAAATTAATTTCCATGGGTAGAGCTTAATGTGCAAATAAAATGATTTTCATTTTTTACTGAAATGCAAAAATTTAAATTATTTAATGCGATTTATTAACAATTAAAATGTTTTTTTTTTCAACGCAATCAATGAGAACTACGTAATTATTAATAAGTCGTCGTTTTAATTTTTTTTTAAAAACTTTTTGACGCTTATATAGCAATTATAGCATAACGACTGCAAAATTGAATGGTTACTTGCATAAAATTTAATTAGTTTTTACTAAAAACAAGGATAATTTTACTAATTTTGAACAAAAATTAAAGATTATTAATTATAATAAGGCAATTCGCTATTATTATTGAAAATAATTATTTATTTTACATGATTGTAGTGAGTACAAGATCATATATGAAAAGATTTTGCAAAAAAGGTTACCACTCTGAGTCTAATCAAATATTCTATTAAAATATTGTCTGTAGTAAGTAATATCTTTCTCTAACCTTTACTATTTAATATATTTAAATCCGAAAACTTTAAAAAGAGTTTATTTCAAAATTTATTGGGGCCAATTACTTTAAATTATATTACAACTAGTATTACTTATGAAAAAATTAATATAATTTTAATAAAACTTTTTTTAATATTCAATTACTTGGAATATCCTGTAATAAATTAATATGCATAATATACCTACGAAACAAAGTAATTTTGATAGGCTTGCCAACTTGAAACGAAATCATTACTTTGCAATTCGGCGCAAAACACAATGTCAATGTGAAAGTATTATACAGAGAAATTGCTAATTTTCCAAACTAAGTTTTCTATTATATTTGAAGAATTTGTTAGGGTATACGAGGATGTTTTCCAATAATATTAACTGAAAATATAATTTTATCAGTGCTTAAAAGAAGAAAAGCTTTTAAATACTTTAAACTGTACACAAAAGAACAAATTTCATATAAAACGGCTCAATATGCTTAGGACTGACAATAATCCATTTTCACGTAATATTCACGCGTATTTTGTAAATTATACTTTAATATCTTGAAAGACTAATTTCTTTGTAGCTAATTAACATCACGCAAAAGATTGCAATAAACGGTTTTCAAATTTTTAGAAAATTATCATAATTTGATAAAATTTGGCCACCCCAACCATAGAAATAAAATCAGAAACAAGTGTTACATTTCCAATGACTAATAATCGCTGAAAATCAAAATTTCAAGCTTTAGATGTGGGAATATTTTTGTTATTCAGAAGATCCCTGATATCAATATGAAATTCATTAATATTATTGATTTTTGATAAAATTCGCTAGATTTAGAAACATTAAATGAACAATTTTGTAGAAATTAGAAATTTATTAAATAGAAAAACCGAATTCTTACATATTAGAAAGAAAATTCCGAAAAATATGGCTCATTTCCTATTTTGCCGAAGCTTGTTGAACGTATTTACGTACTCTACTCATATATTTGATTTTTACAGAAATTTAAATTCATCCACAATTTCTGATTGCTCATTTGTTAGCTATGTACAACCAAAATCATATTCAATTGCCAACTTTAGCAAAAAATATTGGGCATTTAAAATTTAATTAAAATTTGTTTTATAATTTTCAACTATATTAAATAACGTTATTATACTTAACATAAAATATTATTAATTAAATCATTTCGATAAAATATTGATTTCAAAATGCACACTTTTACATATATATATGTGCTCACATACACTTACATACGCAATATACTTACTTATTATAAATATTTTATTTTATATTCACAATAATTCAGCTTTAATTTTTACTCTACATAATTGGAAAAATTTAATTGAAATAAAATTTAATGGAAAAATCTGTTCATAATCATAATAATTACTTCTGTATATACATATATAAATATTTATTATAAATTTTAAATACATATTTACCTATTTAATTATAATTATATATGTATGTATTTTTTAAGTAAATACTCCAGCAAATGTTTTGAAAATGAGAATTGTTCCTGTTTCTTTCTTGATATAAGATGTTAAGAATTTGGGTCAATAATTTATAAAATTTTTCGTTCTTCTTTTAATTTTATTATTTTATAAGTTTTTTTTTTTTTGCACAATTTAAGTAAATATAATATGTTTAATAAATACGCACACACACACACTAAATCACAAAATTACAAAAATAAAAAAGTTTCTTATAATTTTTTTCTTTATTAAAATAACATTTTGATTTTTTAAAATAAACAATAATTTTCTTTTTCTTTTTTAAATGAGTTTCTTAAATATATATATTCATATATACATATTATATATGTATGTATGTACTAGTATGAATGTAAAATTAACTAATCAAATTTAATTTTTTTTTAAATAGCTTAATTGTAGCGCACAAACACAAATTCTATAAATTATTTTGTACATTCATATAATTTATATGTGTATACATGTATGTATATGCGTTTGTATAAATAAATTTAAAATACACTTTTCTTAAATTATTCTTTTCATATCACTAAAAATTAAGAAAAAACAAAAAAATATAAGTAAAGAAAATTTTTCATTTTAGTTTTCCAAATTAAAATAATTTTTCTTTTTCCATAAATTTCTTTTTGTTTTCTTAAAATTTTCTTCTTTGGTTTTTAATTTTTCTTTTAAATATTATTTTAATTTTTTTATTTTTCTTACAATATTAAGTAAATTCAATTTTATTTTTAAGAATTAATTTTCTATATAGAATATCAAAGCTACAATAAACCGCACATGAAATAAAAATTACGTACAAGTTGTGCATATTTTATAAAATAAAAATAAAATTAAAAAAAAACTTAAATTTTGAGATTAAAAAGATTTTTCATATTTATTTTTAGTTTATTTATTAGTTTTAGATATAAAATTGAAAAAGATAAAATAAAATGAAACTAAAAATTTATATTGGCAATGCGTTTAGAATTTTCAAGAAAAATAAATTATTTTTAATAATGTTTTTATGGAAATCTATTGTATGTATGTATGTATGTATATAATTAAATTTATTGAATATTTATTTTTTTTCTAAGGTAACTATGCTCATATCGAAATACATACTATACGTCATGACAGCATCGGTTTGGAATTTGTAGTTCGTATCCATTCATCTTGAGTATCTGCTTATTTTCTTAGTATTTACTCAAATATACTTAGTATTTCTATTATAGTCAAGTGTCAGTACAGGTTGTGAGTTCAAATACTTAAAAGACGTTTATAAAAGTAACTGATAATTAAACCAAAAGGAGTGAAGAACAAGAATATGTCAAAAAGAAAAAACTACATTCATTCCGTTTTTTACATATTATACAAATTTATATTTTAGCCGAAACCGGTAACAAAAACTGTTTCCATTTCTAATAAAAGTGTGCTCCAGCACACGCATATATAGACGGTCACAAACATTTACTTATTTACTCGCTTCTTTACTTGAAATACGTTCCAAACTAATGTCGCTCATGGAGAAATTTCGAAGTTTTCAGTAAATTTATACTCGTAGATAGTTGAATAAAATAGAGATTGTATAAACACTTAAAATGTTATAAAGGTGGAAATTAAGTACTTAAATATTCTGAATTTTGCATGTTCATAAAAATATTACATTTATTGGATTTTCGGATTTTTTCTTGTGATTATCTAGACTTCTTAAATTATTGCAAAATTTTTGAAATTATTCCAAACAGAATCTAAATGCATATATTACTAAACTATTTTTAGAACATTATTGTAATAACACTAAAATAGTAAACCAAAAATAAAATCTCAAAAATTTTCTTTCAATTGCAATTTTGATACACAAAATTTTAATTTTTGAAATTTATTTATATTTAAATGTAAATTTAAAGTGTGAATCTCAAAGTGTTCTATACTATGCATGCACATACTATGAAATTCTATATTGTGTTCTATACTATGCATGCACATAATTTACATAATTATTTTACATGAATTTTATATTTATATTCAACTAATATTAAACAGAGAAAATAAATCCAAAAAATGTGCTTAATATCAAAAAAGCAGAAAAAAATTTATAAAAATTTAAATTTGATTATAACAATACCAAAACTATCTAAATTCATTTATAAAATTTTTGCAATTATCATGAATTAAATGTTGTCATTATTTAAACGGGGATGAGATAAATGTTTGAGCCTAAAATTATGGTATATATTTAATAGCGTACTTATAAATATACTAAGGCTTGAAATTAGATATTTTTATAGAGACAATTATTCACTATATTTCCCAATTTTTGACACAATTCACAATTATATTCACAATTATTAAAATTTCTATTACATACTTTATTTCATATTTCTTGTTAGGAGTTATTTGCCAATATCCTAAAAAACACAAATGTTTAGTAATTTGAAAAACTATATACTACAAACTCTTAAATTTTTCCAATCGAAAATACAATGTATTATCTTTAATAACGTGTTTGTTTGTAAGGATCATTTACCAAATTAACTATAAATCGAATAACAATAACGAATTAACAATAGAATCGAATTCAAAAAATTCAATTAATTCATTTTCGAACTACAGTATTTAAATCTATTATTGTAAATTTTCGTTTATAGAATTCTCAATATAGGTTTTGCTCTTTTCATATTACGTTAGAAAAACTTCTACTTCCTTTTAGTTTATAATATCAACCTACTTGTGGAATATTCTAGTTGGAACTTTTTATTATTCTTACCATTTATATTTTCACTTGCGATATTATTACAGAAAACACTTCTTAATTAAATTCTCTCGTTTTAATTTAAATAAATTATTTTGAAAAAATACTTCCTTATTTTAATAAAATTAAATTGCACATTCTTTCATTCGTTACCCATTCAAAATTGTATTATACTTTAAACAATAAAAAAAAAGAAGAGGAGAGTTTGATTTTTAAAGTATACTCGTATGGGAACTCTGGTATATTGTAATGTTTTTTTTCATATTATGCTTTCAGAGTTCAGACAAACACAATCCATACCAAATAATAAAACTATATTATGCAGTGTGTGTATGTAAATGTGTGAATTCAATTTTTACTTTATGGTCTTTAATTTTTTATGCTTTTATTTTTAATTGAAAAGAAATATTTCCCAAAAAAGAAACCAAGAAAAAACAAAAACGAATTGGAAAATCAAATAAAGAACTGAAAATTGTTTCCTTACCGAAAGTTTTTAATTGAAAATAAACACACTGCACAAAGAAAATTAAATATTCACTTTACAATTTTTAAAAAGAAAACTGAATGGAAAATCAAGTATATATGGGAGAATGAAGGAAAAATGAAAAATAAAAAATTTTTGTTTTGTATTATTTCAGTTCTCTTTCTCTTTTTGAAGGAATAATAAACCGCAATAAAAATATTGAAATATCTTTCTCCTAAGAAAAAAAAATATAAGAAAACCCAAACGATTATAGTTCAGACGATTTATTTTAATAATTATTTTATTTATATTTTATTTGAAAAATCATAAATAAAAAGCGAAAACCAATAAAAATCCTTGAAATATTTTCCTTTAATAAGTTTTCTATTTTGAAACAAAACAAAAAATAAGAAATAAAACAATAAATTTTAAAATATTGGAAAATATTTGAAATTTTTAATAAAAAAAAAAGAAAAAAAATGCTACTCTGAATTGATGTAATAAAAGTTTTCCACATCGTTATTTCGATACATGCTTTGTATATGCTATGCGGCACTATATAATATACAGATTTATTTGCAATGCAACATTAATCTTGACGAGCAATATTTGTTCTAAAACGAATGAATGTTTAACAAAATAAAAAAAATACTCGCAATATTTATTAAAGTAGCTTAAGTGTGCTAGATTGCTTATCTGAAAGAATTTACTAACGGCCAAAATTAACAAAATGTTAACATAAGTATGAGTAATGCATGTTATTGGAAGCCATCGTCTGACGAAATTTTTATGAGTATACCTCTATTTTGTTTGCGATAAAAGTTGAAATTAAAAGTAAAGTAGCAGAAGAAAAGATTGTTGATTTGTAGATTTGTAAAACCGGAGTAATAGTGTACCGCGCCCACATATAAGAATCTATTGTCTCCCCGTCCAGGGTCGTAGCACGGACCTATAGCACCCGCCCGAGATTCTTCGCCCTGACATACTCGAGCAACTTGTGCGGCAGCGCGGAGGACCACAAGTCCTCTGCCGTTAGAATAAAGCTCCCCAATATTTCCCTTCTCATGCGAGCGACGTGACAGAAAAGAAACAAAAGATTATGTTATATATAAAAGTTGTATAGTTTTCCATTATGCATAAACATGTATGAAACCGCAAACGTACTTCAACTGTTTTTAGAAAGCAAATTATTCAAAAATTCGAAACTTTCTTTGTATGCTTAGCTTTGTATGCTCTTTGTATGCCTTGTATGCTTTAGAGTTTTACACATATCTATAGTCATTCAAATTATAAATGAAATTGTAAAACGCTACAGGTTTTTTAAAAACCAAAATCAAAACTTGTAGTAAATGACAAAACCAATTATAAACAGTAAATTCATATTTTGTAAACAAATTCATAGACGAAAGCTTCATTTCTAATTATTTCAGGTTTCGAATTTAAGCAACAAAACATTCGTTTCTACTTATTAAACCACATTTCACGCATTCAAAAATCACTAAAATCAACTATAGAAACTGTTCTCACTCTGAATGGGTGCATAAATATCAAGCAGTGAAAAATCTTTCTCATTTCTTATAAAATTTACACACTGTTACTTAGTGCAATTTCGGTATTATAGCACAAATGTTAAAATAAACTTTTAAATTTATAGTGCATGTATGAAAATATATTGCAAGGAGCAGCGATACCCAATATTTTAAAAGAATAAATTTCTAAGTATTAAAATTTATGTTCCTTGAAGTATTAAATTATCACATTGTTAAATATTTTGTATTCAAGGACAACCCCCATATACTGTTAAAAAAATATAATAATTTTTTAGATTATTTTATTTATAAGCAACTTTGGAAAATTCTTTATACAGGGTGATTCTAAAAGTTCTGCAACAACATCTACCATTGGTTATAAGTTCTTTAACGAATTTTCACGAAATTTTTACTTATCCAGGTTTTTTTGATCATAACTTCGGTGCTGAAAAAGA